GGCTGACACAAGGTTTAGGGTTGACACTGTTATATGGGATGTTAAATTGTAGGGAGGGGGTGCGTATCTGCTTGATAAAGCAGATACGCAGATTGACACTTAAATTAATGGTTGTATGGTTGACATACAAATTGGAAATTGTTGTTAATAATGTCAGAGGATACTGGGTTTAGACTGGTAGAAGGTGTGTGATTGACACTGAAATAGGGAAAATGTTTAACAATAAAGAAAGAGAATTAAATGCTTTAACTCTTTTTCTGTCTGTCTCTGTCTCTCTCTCTCTCTCTCTCTCTCTCTCTCTCTCTCTCTCTCTCTCTCTCTCTCTCTCTCTCTCTCTCTCTCTCTCTCTCTCTCTCTCTCTCTCTCTCTCTCTCTCTCTCTCTCTCTCTCTCTCTCTCTCTCTCTCTCTCTCTCTCACTGTGTCATCAAAGTCCTACCAGCAAAATGGAGCCCCATAAAGTCCTGACGATTGCGATTAAACTGAAGCGCCTTCCCAGGTGTGGAGAAGAGATCAAAGTGCAGCAAACATATAGAGATTAAAACTTATTAGGTTGCCTCAGGGCTATTTACGGACCATCAATGCGTTATGAGATTCAATATATATATATATATATATATATATATATATATATATATATATATATATATATATATTATATATATATATATATATATATATATATATTGGTGAATACTGACAGCAGCAGGTTTTCTTTCAAACATGTCTCATTGAATATGACCGCATATTCTGTATTTACTATCTTCTGATTTAGGGCTTCTATCCCTCTAACTATTTTCTTAGCATCAGGGCTTAGCTGAAATAGGAGTTCTCCAAAACTCATTTTCGTAATTTCAAGGTGAAGAAAAGAAGTGAATTACTATAGAAAATATATTTAAAGAAATATATTGATTCTATATTTAAAGAACTTATTGTATATTTAAAGGACTCGATTGTATATTTAAAGCACCCCCAAGAGAGTTTGCGGGATAGGCCAAACTCAGGTGTCTTAAAAATTGGATTAAGCCAAGACATTGCAACTTTCTTGCAGGTGTTGCATCAAACGCGGCTGACAGTGTTGCCGCAACACTGAAATTCTGGATCACTCAATCCGGCTGAGTCAAACTTTTGTTTGGCGACCGAAAGAAAAGCAATGTCGAAATCACTCTTCGTAAAGTTGCAAAACTTTTTTTTTGTTTGTTTTTGTTTTTGGTGAAACTATTGAATGGAATGGCCGCAAGCCAAAGTTCGGCACGGCCAAAATATGTCGAGGCTTGCCATATGCGGCCAAAATATGTCGAGGCTTGCCATATGCGGCCAAAATATGTCGAGGCTTGCCATATGCGGCCAAAATATATACCGAGGCTTGCCATATGCGGCCAAAATATATCGAGGCTTGCCATATGCGGCCAAAATATATCGAGGCTTGCCATATGCGGCCAAAATATATACCGAGGCTTGCCATATGCGGCCAAAATATACCGAGGCTTGCCATATGCGGCCAAAATATATACCGAGGCTTGCCATATGCGGCCAAAATATATACCGAGGCTTGCCATATGCGGCCAAAATATATACCGAGGCTTGCCATATGCGGCCAAAATATACCGAGGCTTGCCATATGCGGCCAAAATATACCGAGGCTTGCCATATGCGGCCAAAATATATACCGAGGCTTGCCATATGCGGCCAAAAAAATATACTTTGGGTAGACAGTGAGTCACAATAACGTGGCTGAAGATATGATGACAAAACTATACATCAAAAGATTGAAGACGACGACGTTTCGATCCGTCCTGATGGGGTCATTATCGTACGACTCTATAATGGTCCACGACGGACCGAAACGTTATCGTTTACTCCATCTTTTAGTGCATGGTTTGGTCATCAAAAATACCCCGGATAGTCCCTGGGCTGCACAAAACGCTAGTGGCTCCACACTTTCTTAATAAGAAACTTGGTTTCACCACCGAATGGTCAGACCGAGCAAGGGTAGAACCTAGACCCGTCATTTCACAGCTTCACCTGAGATTTCTCTGTGACATTTCGTGCCAGCATAGCGAAGCTCACATTAAAGCTGATGACGCTCGTGATGAGGTCAGAGGTCAAGCTGATGAGGTCAGGATAAGTCCAGCAGGGGAAGTGACCTACGAGATGTATGATCAACACTGTTGCAAAGTGTTGTTGGAGGTCACAGCACTACAACAGGCAGAATACAGCTGTATCTCACATGACAAAAACACCTTCAGCTCCATCCCGCCAAACACACACCGAAACTACGACGTTGGTACAACGTTCGAACAATTTTTGACAACACCTAACCAGTTATAACAACCAATATAGCAAGTTGTAACAACGTTCTAATACGTCATAAACACGTTAAGCCAAGATGTAACAACTTTATTACAAGTTGTAACAAGCAGAAAATAGAGACAGTTTCGGTTTGTGTTTCCAGGGATGTGGTATGGGAGTTACTGTGGTTTACCTGGGTAAATGCTAATTTGGATATGTGGGTGTTGATTAATGGAATAAATTACCAGGTAATGACATAGACGTGGGATCGTTTTGATTGTTTCAAGCGTAGGATAGACGTGTGAGTTTGGTTTGATATAAATGTCAGTTGTCTCGTATATGGGCCAATAGGCCTTATGTACATGTTTATCTTCCTATGCCTTAATCTACCAGGATTGACTGGAAACTGGATGACACATTTCTTTCATCAATTCTACATGCAGACTAAAGCAAACGAATCGCATCCTTCTATCATAGGTTATTATATATCTAATGGTGCTTAAGATCATTAAAAAGACCTGAATGTTAATCCACGATTCATTATTCTTAGCTAAATTGGGGTCTTATATATTTGGTATCTATATTTGGGTCTTGAATATTTTTAAAGGAGCCTTTCGTTTTCTTTTGGAAGATCCTAATTGCTAAGGCTGAGAGGAATAGTGTGAGGTGAGGGTGAAGAGTAGCTAAGGGTGAAATGAGAAACTATTTTATCTAAGGGAGAGATGATGTGACGATAGTGGTGGTGATGGTGGTAGTGATGGTGATGGTGATGGTGGTAGTGATGGTGATGGTGGTGGAGGAGCTCGAATATTCTAATGTGGATCTTTCTATCTTCCTTTCACTGTTCTTCCATATTCCTTCTTCCTTATCCCTGCCCCTCCCATGGAAAGGGAAAGGAGTGACGGTGGTGGAAAGGGTGAGCTTGAGACATGGGGTGAGACACGGGTGAGAGAGAGGGTTGGCCTGGCTGCCAGCCACAAAAATTCACCACACAACGGATCCAGAGAGACGAACGAGGGAGGAGGGAATTGATGAAAACTGGGCGAGGAGGAAACTGCGGCAAAATACGGGAAAAACGATAAAATTCTGATCGGAATTTGGGGGGAGAATACAGGACAGTATTCTAGCGAGGAAGGCTTGGACAGTACTCTAGGAAGGGATCCCTAGGAAGTACTCTAGAGACGACAGCATGCACAGTACACTAGGGAGAAAGATCTGAATAGTACTCGAGGTTGGAAAACCTGGACAATACTCTAGGGACGCCTGGCCAGTACTCCAGGGAGGACCAATTTTCACGTGGAATATTCCTGTGACATGCACTTGTCGTATATTCCTAAGGACTATGGCTCCTCGCATTTCTAAGTGGTGCTCACTGTCTCAAGAAGGGCTCACATAATGTCCTTGAAGCACCTTCCTCTGTCATTTCTGTCATCGCCCTTCCCTGATACTGACAGCCAAGTACTCTCTCTCTCTCTCTCTCTCTCTCTCTCTCTCTCTCTCTCTCTCTCTCTCTCTCTCTCTCTCTCTCTCTCTCTCTCTCTCTCTCTCTCCTGGCGTAAGTGTTTAATGAAGGAAACTGCAGAAGAAATAGCGACCCATAGATACGAGGCAGTTCCTATTTATGCCCACCCAAACTCATTCCATGTGTCTATCCTACGCTTGAAACAATTCAGTGATACTGCGTCTCTAATCTTACCTGATAATTTGTTGCATAAATTCAACAACCTTGTTTCCAAACCATTGTATACATATTATAATATTTTAGAAATACGTAAAATTGTAATAAATATTTTAAAGTATAACAAGAACGGCTGAAGACATTTAAGATTGTTGTGAGTTCAATTATTAACAATTGCACATGTGCAACTGGCCTTAAAAGCGGCTGTAAACTGTAATCTGGTTTACTGTTATATCATCGTTATGCATAGGTATCCCAGGATCAAATCCACCCTACGAGAAAAAAATACACACAGACGTGATACAGACAAACACATAACTTGGTTTACGTTTCTCGTTCACTTGCAGCTTTCCCCTTGCTTTATCCTGGCTTCGAACCTCTTCCTTCTCCCCCTGTCATTCATTTTTCTCAAAATCGCCTGCCTCTCTCTCTCTCTCTCTCTCTCTCTCTCTCTCTCTCTCTCTCTCTCTCTCTCTCTCTCTCTCTCTCTCTCTCTCTCTCTCTCTCTCTCTCTCTCTCTCTCTCTCTCTCTCTCTCTCTCTCTCTCTCTCTCTCTCTCTCTCTCTCTCTCTGCAGACACCGAACCACTCCTATCTCCTCACCACAACTACTGTTCTCTCCGCAAATTGCTCCAAACTCGTATTTTCCTCTAGATATCAATTTGATTGGATCAAAGAGCTTCATCTGCTCAAAGTTTCGTTTGGAAAACACACATTTCTGGCCACAGTAGTGTAATTGGTGTGCCATGGCTGGGTTCTCTTGTTAGGGATTAATAGGAGCTACGTCGTATTGACCAATAGTACATTTTAAACCACGTTCTATGTGATATTTGTCGTTCAAACTATCAGGTACAGTTGTACGAGTTAGGGGACCAGTTATAACATCCTCTCTATGTACTTTTAACATAGTGTTTCGGCAGCGATTTATATAATAATGTGTATTATTAAACCAAATTTTTGTATGAACTTCCACCCCTTCCTCCAGGGGGTGAAACAGTGTATCAGTAGACTGTTGACAGCACCTTGACGAAAGATGGAAGTTCATCAGAAAATTCGATTTAATAATACACAAGTATTCTTCATCTTCATTCAAACACTACGGTATTGTAGTAAGATTCTCTATAATGATAATGTTGACAAATATCAAAAATAGAAAATATTTGAATTTGTAAATCATGTTTCACCTGTTAAGGCTTTTTTTTTCTCAATGACTTGCTTTCAGAAGCTGAAATTGTTTAAAACACTCTGATAAGCTCGGTTAATTAGGTACTTTGCAAGGTGTAAAAATATGTATATTATCCTAATGTTATTAAACGTTTACTCGCCACACCTTTGTGCCAAATCCAATCAAATCTTTCAGCAGTATCCAAGGATATGATTTACATATCTTAATATAATTGGTGCTGGGAGAAGTCTTCAAGACGACCACTAAACAGTGGTCGTGACACTTGTGCTGCGATCACACACACACACACACACACACACACACACACACACACACACACACACAAACACACATCAATAAAAGCCGTTGAACTGCAGTTTAAAATCAATTTTGAACTGTTCCTCAATGCACCGCAACTCTATTTTACAATTAAGTCAATATAAATTGTTCCTGATTTCCAAACTACCAAACTAGGGGCTAACAAGCGCTGAAAAACACCGAGTCAGTGCGAGAGTAATACGAGCAACTCACTGCCATTGACCGGCAGTTAAGTAAGCAAATTGCATTATCAACTTTAATGGCCACCGCTCCAGATATAAATACTTCTTAAGTCTTATTAAGTCTTATAAATAAATCTTATAGCAGAACGAAAATCGAACCTCAGTCATCCGAGCGACAGTCCAATACATTACTCTGCTGACCGCTTTCTCAACTGTCTGAATTTACTCCCTACGTGTTAACCCCCCCCCCCTCCCCCCCAACACCACCCACACCCCTCGATATAAGCCTAACATGAAAATATACACTGGCTACCTGTCCCTCGGAAAAAAAATTATTGTTAAACTTGCAATTCAGATTCTTCCATGTCACTTGGACTGGTCGGTTCAGCGATCACCTCGCTTCTTGCTGGTCATTGTTCGATCCCCCAATCGTTCAAATGGTTGTTGTATCCCTTTTAAGTACTGGCTTAGCATTTTCCTCTTGCTAATCACCATACCTGACCATCCTCCCTACCTTCGAACCTTAGACTTCCCGGTACTGTAGTCAGACTTCAGACTTCCCGGTACTGCAGTCAGACTTCAGACCTCCCGGTACTGCAGTCAGACTTCAGACCTCCCGGTACTGCAGTCAGACTTCAGACCTCCCGGTACTGTAGTCAGACTTCAGACCTCCCGGTACTGCAGTCAGACTTCAGACCTCCCAGTACTGCAGTCAGACTTCAGACCTCCCGGTACTGCAGTCAGACTTCAGACCTCCCGGTACTGCAGTCAGACTTCAGACCTCCCGGTACTGCAGTCAGACTTCAGACCTCCCGGTACTGCAGTCAGACTTCAGACCTCCCGGTACTGCAGTCAGACTTCAGACCTCTCAGTACTGCAGTCAGACTTCAGACCTACCGGTACTGCAGTCAGACTTCAGACCTCCTGGTACTGCAGTCAGACTTCAGACCTCTCAGTACTGCAGTCAGACTTCAGACTTCCCGGTACTGCAGTCAGACTTCAGACTTCCCGGTACTGCAGTCAGACTTCAGACTTCCCGGTACTGCAGTCAGACTTCAGACCTCCCGGTACTGCAGTCAGACTTCAGACTTCCCGGTACTGCAGTCAGACTTCAGACCTCCCGGTACTGCAGTCAGACTTCAGACCTCCCGGTACTGCAGTCAGACTTCAGACCTCCCGGTACTGCAGTCAGACTTCAGACCTCCCGGTACTGCAGTCAGACTTCAGACTTCCCGGTACTGCAGTCAGACTTCAGACTTCCCGGTACTGCAGTCAGACTTCAGACTTCCCGGTACTGCAGTCAGACTTCAGACTTCCCGGTACTGCAGTCAGACTTCAGACCTCCCGGTACTGCAGTCAGACTTCAGACCTCCCGGTACTGCAGTCAGACTTCAGACCTCCCGATACTGCAGTCAGACTTCAGATTTCCCGGTACTGCAGTCAGACTTCAGACCTCCCGGTACTGCAGTCAGACTTCAGACCTCCCGGTACTGCAGTCAGACTTCAGACCTCCCGGTACTGCAGTCAGACTTCAGACCTCCCGGTACTGCAGTCAGACTTCAGACCTCCCGGTACTGCAGTCAGACTTCAGACCTCCCGGTACTGCAGTCAGACTTCAGACCTCCCGGTACTGCAGTCAGACTTCAGACCTCCCGGTACTGCAGTCAGACTTCAGACCTCCCGGTACTGCAGTCAGACTTCAGACCTCCCGGTACTGCAATCGCAAACTGTTGTTATCTGTAAGTGGTTCGTACACTGAACGGTCCCAGTTGACGTAATTTCGGAGCTTATTGTAGATCAGATTTTATATACCTTATCTTGGCAAGACCAATACTGATAAGGACAATAGTATTATATATAATTATATAAATAGAGATCTTTGTCTTATGTTAATCTTGCTTCTTTTAAAGTAGCATTACCTTTTTCAGTTAGCAAAACACATATACCTAAATAAAAATACATTTATATGTGGCACTGATACAGTTTAAATGCCAAAAAGTAGAAGACGATTTAAATATATAATGCGCTGAATATATATCATATGACGACTGGACAGTCATTCAGGTTACAAATCCAAGAATATTCTTCACCGAAATGTACTAATGTCAAGTCACTCAAAGTCTCCTAGAATTACAACTAGTACTAATTAAACGTTACTTTAAGTTTCTTAATCTCTCTCTCTATATCTCTCTCTCTCTCTCTCTCTCTCTCTCTCTCTCTCTCTCTCTCTCTCTCTCTCTCTCTCTCTCTCTCTCTCTCTCTCTCTCTCTCTCTCTCTCTCTCTCTCTCTCTCTCTCTCTCTCTCTCTCTCTCTTTTTAAAATTATAACTAGTACCCATCCCATGTCACTTTGTCAGGCCAAACTTTGAGAGGTTTAAGAACTCAAGTTATCAACACTAGTTATCCCAGTCATTCGCGGGTTAAGCTCCTGAGCCACCGACGGAGTACTGGTAGTTCCTTCCTCTTACCCTCCAAGATGTTCCTCACATTCTCTCAAGACTAAAGACACTCTTCTGGCCCATACGCGGGATCACTTGATTATCTGAAGCTACAGGTTTAGACACACAGTTGAATGAGTAGTATTTGCATATAATTATAGAAGCTGCCACATATGGTTATCTTGAGGTTATCTAGAGATTATTTCGGGGCTTAGCGTCCCCGCGGCCCGGTCCTCGATCAGGCCTCCTTTTTGTTACACACCTCCAGGAAGCAGCCCGTAGCAGCTGTCTAACTCCCAGGTACCTATAGAATAATATATTATGGACCTGGTGACCGTCAGGACTCCAGCTGTCGGGCCCCCACAACCTGGCCAAGACTATTTTTTTCTTCTATGGGCCAATAGACCTTCTGCCGTTTCCTTAATTCTTACGTTCATATCTTAATTGATGAAGTGAGAGAACTCTTCCCTCTCCGTAACATTATATATCTTTCTGTATATCACATAGTCAAGATATCACATATACCACCCCTCCTATCCCGTTGCATCGTAGGTAGCCTGGATTACCCGGTATCACCGCTAGATATAAACATTCGAGAAGGCTCAGTTTAGCTAGCTTTGGCCGAGTGGATATTTGGGGAAGTATATTGCCCGGGCATATTTACTCTGTCAATAGAAATGCGTGGTTAAAGGTGGGGATAATGTTTGGGGGGGAGGGGGGAACTGAGGAGGGGGGTGGAGAGGCAACACTGAGGTTGCAACACTAAAACTGCAACACTGAGGTTCATTGAACACTAGCACATAGCAGCAACATCGAGCACCCATCCGCGATACGGAAAGAGCTGGAAGAAAATCAAGAACATAATTAGGGCAAGAGGAATGCAAGAACAAGGACAAGAATCCAAAAGAAATGGGCCAGAGTGAATACGAACACTTCAAGAAACAAGGAATCCTTGCAAGGCCAAGAACAAAGCCAAGGACAAAGCCAAGGACAAGACCAAGGACAGAGCCAGCCTCCGGTCAGAACAGGACGAGAGCTGGTCAGGAGAGGTCGATAGTACACCAGACAACAGTCGTAGGAAAAGAGGTAAACAAGATACATTTTTTATTAGAGGCGTAACTTGCTACTGAAGTGGTCCAGTGAGAAAACAGAGAGCCAGAAAAATGAAGGGAAACAGGAAGGTAGAAAGAGAGAGAGAGAGAAAAGTGGGAAACATAGACGGGAAAGGGGGATATAGAGAAGAGGAGAAAAACACTGAAAGGAACAGAACAGAGGAGAACACGGAAGAGGAAGAACACAAAGGGTAAGAGAGAAGATAAACAACACAGGGGAATCGAGAAGAGAAACGTCACAGGTAGAGAGAGATAAAAGTTATGAAGAAAACAAAAGATATGGAAGAAAGTAACAGATGAAAGAAGCAGCCAAGAGAGAGAGAGAAAAAAGGCGCTAGAGAAGGGGGTTGAAGACAAAGGCAGGTCGAGAAGCGTCTCAAGAAAGCAAAAAAAGAAAAGACAACAAAAATAGCAAATTGGGAAGATGAGATGAAGGAGATGTGAGGAGATTGGATGAAGGGACACACACACACACACACACACACACACACACACACACACACACACACACACACACACACACACACACACACACACACACACACACACACACACCTGGGAGGAGGGTGCTGGGAGTTGTGTCAGTGTTGGCGTCCTCTACACCTCACACACTTACCACACCTGTCTCTCATATCCCCTAACCTCCTTCATCTCCCATTAACTGGGAAGGATGAGAGGCAACTTCTAATGGGGCCCCATTAGCGAGGGGGGAAAAGGGAAAAACGGGAGGGGTTGTGGGGAGGTTTCCACAGCCTTGTGTGATGGAATTTTTTTCCTTTCCGCGTTCTTCACGCTGACTTGAACCAGCTTAAAGTTGTGTCTTCTCTTAATATGTGTAACATTGTGGGTCTTGAAGAGGGTTGTCGCATGCCACCTCGCCCTTGAACCTCACACCCTTAAGGAAATGGGTCCTCGTGTGTCACACCTGCTTCTCACGCTCCACACCTGCATCTCACACCCCCACACTGAGCCTCACACACTGTAACGTCGAACCTCGTACCTGATACCAACACCACACACACACACACACCATATTTAAGATCAAACTCCACACCTGTACAGCTTATCTAAACACCTGTGGGGGAAAGAATGTGTACGAATAGTTCAGTTCTCTATGGTTTGTGGACGTGGCTGCTTCTATATGGTTGGCGGCGCCGCCTGTTTAGCTAAGATCGGAGGCGACATATGTGTTACCCAGGATGGACACACACATGTATAGAGTCCCTTACCCCTTGCCTGTCATGCTTCGGTGGATATGCTGTAATACCTCATGGGTGACTAAATTACCTCAGACTGCCTAAAGGGTGTGGTTGGTATCCACACTGGATTTAGGCAGCAAATTAAAAGACCTACTGTATTGTTGAAAGAATTTTCCCTCCACCCCCTGCCTGGGGAGCACCCACGGCTCTGTAGAGTGATCTCATGCTTTGGTGTTACTCCCTATGGACTCGGTTGTTCTTTTTTCACAGAAGGGCTGTCCTAGCTGGACTGTTTGTGATTTCTTGTTGAGACCGGCTGGGTTGCTGGGGCAAAGAGAGCATCTCCGCTGATTGGTTCTTGGAAAGAACGTCAGGCGCGGATATATATCCCTGCTGAGTCGCCTATGTGTTCTGATAGCATCCCTTTTACGAGGTCATCAGATGCAGCGGCGGAGGATAAGGGTACGGACCTTCACAAGAAGATCGGTTTGCCGTAATGCCAGTTCTGACGAGCATAAATGAGTACCACAGGTAGGCGTGAATGAGTACCTCCCCACCCCTCAAGGAAAGCAAAAATAAGCACCGCAAATGAGCACGAATAAGCACCGACAGTGAGCACCACGCCTAACCACGCCTGCTTGCACCGTCTACAAATCATCCCTTACCATAGAGACGGTGAAACAGAAACATTAGACTCGACGTTAGCTTATGTAACGCAAGAGCCTGACAGAAGAAGGAAGTGGAGGTGACAGCCAGTAATGAGGAACGGCTGTTCCAGCCATCAGCGTCTGTGGCGTGGGACTTCCCACCTTCTGAGAGGTGAAAAAAAATATCAAGACGGTAGAAAGCGGCGACTAAGAATGACACAGGAGACTATGAGATGGAGCAGAAATGGTAGTATAGTGGAGCTGAGGAGCAGCGAAGTGAGAGTAGGGGCTCTCGAGTGAGTATAGAGCTCCCGAGTGAGCGTAGGGCTGTTGCAGAGAAAAAATGGATTTACTGCTGAGGGGTCGAAAATCCCAGGGCTGCAGGAGGGCGGAAAATAAATGTGAAATATTCACCTTTTCGGCAGTGTTTTTGCCATGCATTGCGTCAGTAACTTGTTTTGACACAGTGGGAGGGGAGGAGGGGTTCACAGTGGTGCAAATAACTTGTCTTTGAAACAGTAGAGGTTCACAGCGCGTGTGAAACTTGTTTTTGACACAAAGGAGATTCACAGCGTGTCAAGGATTGGCACGCAACAGGTTCGGTTGATGAGTTCACTCAGCAAACTGCGCTCAATGACAGTATTGGATGAGACACACAAAGTTTACCCCTTGTGGAACTCTATCTTGTTACTCATCGCGATACCCAACACTACTCATCGCTCTATTCATCGCTATACTCAACGTACTCATTTTTTTACTTTGGCGCGACAAATTACAAAGGCTTTTGCCTACCCAGAAACGTACTAACCCAAGCAACCCACCTAATGTGTCGTGATGGGGTTGCTTTTGAAAACGTCAGTATTGCGGTGCTTTTATTTTGACTAATGCGTCGCATTTTCAACGATCTAATCGATTTCTTCGAATATGCGACATACTAGGTTACACAACTGGGTATATCTGCACAGCTTCAGTTATCGTTGATTGCACAGCTGTAGCTGTTGTTGCTGTTTTAGATATAGCTACTCAGAACGAAATGTCCATGTAGCACGGGCTATGGTGAGCCCGTAATTGAGTTCGGTTATTCGCGATAACCTTGTTACTCTGATATTTGGGTTAAAGTATTAGATGGAGGTGGGGTTTCCTCCTTTTTCCCTGTTTCTTTTTCGCTTCTGTTTTAGTCTTATTTTGATAACATTATCTTGGTGGCGGATGTAGGGGCAGAATGTTTATTAGTGAGTCCCATTCTTTGATGGCTTCTCTAATCATTGTAGTCGCTGTGGAAGCTGTAGCTGGCAGGTGTGGCTTATATAAGGCG